TTAAGGATTTTTGGACTCTTCTGTGTTGATATTCAAAGTTATCTACCCCCCTTGCTCCGCCAAACATCACGTGTCTATTTAGTTACGAAAAAAATGTTATGTTTTAACTTTTTTTTAAATGTTTGGATTTAAAAAAAAAACAGGTTGAAAATAAACAAACGAGATATCTTACTATACCTCTCCCTCCCCGACATAATATTTTGCAATTTTTGTTAAACCCCCTTTTCCTTTAAAAACTTTATGCGGTTATTGGACGCCCCCTAAATCTAATGTAATAGTTGCAATTATTTATAGTATTCCTTATAGCTTTTTTTTAATAAATATTTTTCACAGATTTTATGCATTGTTATACAATATTATTAAATATTGTCTTTTATTAAAGCTTAAAAGCTCAGCAGCATTAATAACGCATCTAGGCCAGCCGCCGGGAGCCCTAGTATGGCCCCATATAGTTCTTATTAATATAATATCAAAATGACGTGACTTGCATACCGAGAAAGCTTTGTTGGGAGGAAAACTAATATTATGTATCATAAAAGACCGAATATTTAATAACAGAAAACATATATCTTAACGCGATCTTTCCATCAGTTAATAATGAGGAGCTATTTGTTAAAATAGCAAATGTAAACTTAACACAATTTTTGATAAATGTAAAATAATATGGAAAAACAACTTATGGCACCGGTTTTTAATCTGTGGGGCGCGCCCCTTTAGAGAGGCGCCAGATTGTCCTAAGGGGAGATCGTACATCTGTTTCTAGAATACTATGTTCGAAAATAACCCAACATTTTTGAAATGATAATAAAAAATAAATAAAAAATAATTAGTTTCTTTCATATTTTTACATAATATGGCATATTAATTTGTAGTCTAATAATATCAGCTGAGTATTTATAAAACTAAATTGTTGAAAAAATTAAGGAGGTAGCAACAATTTTTTTTATTAGAGCAGGGAGGGATTTATTAGGGCAATTGTTGGAAATCAATGGCTTATGAAAATAGATATTTATATTAACCAATATATATATTATCAATATTTTGATTATAATTGTAGAGTAGTTAGTAAGTTCTCAGCTAGAAATTTATTTAAATCCGTATACTGTAATTCAATTGGCCGAAGAATTTATTTATTTAATAACAAACCATGTGTTCCACAAAACACCTTAACATAAATATAACGTATTTAATAAGTGTCAAATTTTGTTTTCAACATTTTTACGAGATGTATTTTAAGATGCTGAACGCGAAAATCGAGCTCTCGAGTGTTTTAAGAAAATAATAATCATTTAACATCAATCATCTTGGATAAGCGATATATTCAGGGAAATAAAAAATACACACTTGTAAGCATATATAAATATATATACATATACATATACATATATATATATATATATATATATATATATATATATATGGGTATAAAGGAAAAAAGAGGGAAAAATTACGTTTAGGCCTCGATATCAATAAGGTGCTCCATACGAGCTGAATAACATACACCTTATATGAGAAAAGCTTTTGAAGAGCCTGATGTAATATAAGGAGCCTATTCTGCTCCTTTGGAATATATATATATATATATATATATATATATATATGTATATCTTTTTATTCATATTTTATCCTCATTGATAATTAAGAATCAACGTCAATGGATATAGATTATGGTTACTGGGATATACGAGTAACACTATGATATTTTTTATATAACCAATTTATAATTTTTGACGACTTACAGATTCATAGTAAATATTTTTTATATTTGTTACTCCAAATAATATATTTTTTAACTTTCCATAGGGTAAGTTGATAATAACAATCGCAAGAAAATCGAAAATGAAAATTTTTATATATCTTTACGTTTCATAGGTTTTTGAACATTTTGGCATACTTTAGAAAAAAATGATGTATGGTTGTGTGTATGTGTGGGTGTACGTGTGTGATTTTTGGCATTAGATTCCTATTGATAAGAAGACGTGCTGATATGTTTTTGGCAAAAAGTTAATAAATTAAAAAAAAAATTGTTGGTACGGGAAGTTTAGCCACTACTTTTTTTAATTTTTTTTAATAACTTTGTAAACAAGTACATTATTCATTTGCGTACAATTATTTTACAATACTCATAATTTCGTGTTGTTATTAGATTTAACAAAAGTATACAAGGCACCATATATTCTTATATCTATCAACAAAAATTAAAATAAGTTGGAAAGAGATTTTTACCTTTATTAGCTCCTTTCCATTCTAGATAATTCCATGAAGTTAAAAGTATGAAATTAGAATTTTATATCGAAGAACTGCAAAAACGGATTCTTATAAATATTTCTATTTTAAATTGTTCAAATCAAAGATTGTTGATAAAAAATTTGAAACTTTACTAATTTTATTATTTTTTCCAAATAAAACAAAGCCATAAAAACTGATTATTTAAGGCTATGACATAGTAGTGCTGTCACTAAAATTAATAAAACAACTCTTTCGAAATACATATTGCTACTATTCTTGAGATTATCAATCCTATAATTTATCCTGAATTTTATTATTATTGATAAAACATATATATAATAAATGGTTCTTATAGTTATTTTAGTAATTAATAAAACAATGTTTCCCTGCATGTTTACAACATTTTTTGCATTTCGATTGTTTCAAGTTAAAATATATTTCTAGTCTTTAAAAGTTTTTTTTAAATGTTTTCTCCTAAACAAGTGGAAAAATGGAAACTCGAGTGTTTAAAAAAAACTCTTCAAAATATTTTTGTTTGCTTTTCATCATTATTTTTGCAGTAGGTCAGTTGTTCATTAATTAAAATATGCAAATACATGACAACTTACTTGTTGAATTATTTAATATTCAACTGTGTCAAAACATCAAAAATAAAATTAATTAAATCTGTTAATTATGGAAAGAAATTTTTATCTTTAATAACTCCTTCCATAATTCTAGATAATTTCATGAGGTTAAAAGTTTGAAATTAGAATTTTATATCCAAAAGCTGCAAAAACTGATTTCAAAATTAATAAGCTCAAACTAAAATATTACAAATAATTGTCAACGAATGTTTAATTTATTTAAAAAAAAAATTAATTGATTTGAGAACGTTTTCCAGTTCCTCTTATGAGTATACCATATTGCCGTTGTGCCATACAATAAAATTTGTAATATTCATAGTACTAGAATAGTTTTTTAAAAGTTATCTATCATATTGTATACAAATGTAATTTGAGTAAGCAAATTTTGGAAATTTGTTTTTAGAGTCGGCAGAGTTATTTTAGTGCGTTACCATAAGGGATTATCAGATCACATCAAGTCTCAAATTATTCTAGACCTTTGGTCCTTTTAGTTTTCAATAATAATTTACATTTAAATTGAGTCAGTTTATATATGCATATTGTGTATATATATATATATATATATATATATATATCCAACTCTAATTATTCTGAAATAGCAAGGCATTTCGATGAAATAATGAGAACTCCACACGTTTCATGTTTCATAGGTATTAACATAAAGTGGGTCAGTTCGTTAGTTTTCATTAGCGGTCTAGACAAGACTTTAATTAAAAGGCCGACACTTGAAAAGGACGAAAAGGATCTTGTATGAAATAATCTCTATTAATCGTATGAAGTCAGATTTTATTGCCAAAGGCTACAGGGAGAGAATTAAATCGAAAGTGAATATGAAAATGCTAACTTTACTAAAACCTTACCACCTGGTCCATCGACAATTTTGCTATCCTAACTATGTCTGATTAATTTCATAAACTATATCAATTAATATTATGATTATGATTAATATATTTAATATATTAATCAATTATTTAATTAATGTATAATATTTCATATTTCTGCATAATCATATTTATTTCAAAAACACCCACTGCCAGTTAATAATATAACGAATTTAATTAAATAATTTCACAACTCAAACAAATGAAAAGCATTTGTTTGATTTCATGGAATAATATATAAACCGCGATGTATCTTTCACAAATGCTAATATTAGTGTTGCGATATGGAACTGTTAATTAATAGTAAAATATTTGTATAATATTACATTTAATTACACAAGGACTAGTTAGTAAATTTATTCCGCAGGATAACGACATGTTAGCAATATCGAATGTATGCTAATCGGAGGCAGGATTTGCATATGCATTAATTATGTGGTGAGGGCGATTGATAATATAATATGTATATATATATATATATATATATATATATATGTGTGTGTGTGTGTAGTACCAAGTACAATAAACTGAAGCAATTAGGGTATCAGCTTTATTAATCCAAACGTCTCAGCCTCCACCAAGGTATCATCATTCAGTGTAACAACTAGAAAGATTTTAGATATGTTTTAGACAAAATAATTTAATATTAGACTACACTAATTAATACAAATATAACACCAAGCTATCAAAAATAGTATGTTTATATATGGCGATACTGAATGGGATATTTAACTCGTTGATGCATCTGATACAGTTTAACAATCAATAACGAAATATGTGCGCTGGTTTCCATCTTAATAACTAGATGTAACAAAATGTTGTTATAATGATTTTATTTATATATTTAGCACAGCAACACGAGATTATAGCTAGTAGTAAATAAAAATTTTACTCCTTACATTTTTAGTACATCTCTCTATAATCTCTATATATTTATAATTCAGTACTTTTCTATCACAAATAATGGTAAATCCTGCACCAATATGAAACATACATTAAAACACGTTCAGGAAAAACTATTTTTCATTCTAATCCATGATTTATTTTTATGAGAAAATCCAGGTTTTCTTGGTATATAAAGCAGAAGAAACCATAAATATTGTATAGTCTATAAAATATGGTGTTTTCACTAAGAGAAAACCAAAGATTATCAAACATAAAGTTTATATTTATTTTTAATCTACAAAATTATACAACAATATATTTAAGTTATCATATATTATATAATAATCTCTTTTATTTTAAATTAATAATTATTTTCCAGTGTTTAGACAAGGAGATCCAGGACAGTGCTGGTATGCGGTCTTAGGAGGGTCAGTGGATGTAAAATTAATTCAACCTGATGTGGACCCTAAAGTGAGTCTTTTTAATATTTATAATTTTAGTGAAGAACTTAAAAATATATACAAAAATCTATACACAAGTGTGAAATCATTTAGAATCTAATTCCTCGTGTCTCAAAAAATATTTGGGTGGGTCGATTGGCTGAATTTTAATTTGGTCTATACTGTTTAATTTAGTATTTAAATATTTATAAATTCAGATTTATGTAAGGATTTTCTAAAAATGAGCGTTTTTTATAAAAAATAAAACCAAATATAAAGAATAACAAGTTTGCTAAAATTAATTTAAAACGAATAAATGGATATGAACATGACTAAAATGTTTAATAAAAACTCACAATCAGTCAAATTTGAAAGATTGTTTTGAAACGAATATATTGGTTATAAAATTTATGCAAAATATATACTAACGTTGATCCTTTAGTGATTTTTGTCTATATTTCTATTTTAAATTAATCAAATTAAAGATTCTTGATAAAAATATTGAAAATGAAATTAATTTATTATTTTGTACCAAAACTATAAAATAATGATACTGAATATTTAAGGGATATGAAATAGTAGTGCAGTCTCTAAAAATAATAAACTACTTATTTTGAATTATTTGCTCCGATTTTTGAGTTTATTGATTTTGGATATTATTATATAATGCAAATGCAAAAATACAAAAAATATTAAAAAATACAGAGAAACATTGTTTTTTATTCATTACTAAAATAGCCATATGTACAATTTAAACAATATAATTTCCATCAATAATATTATTGATAAAAATTAAATTTTTTAAATTGTACATATAACTATTTTAGTAATGAATAAAACAATGTTTCTCTGTATTTTATATTTTAACATTTTTTTCATTTTGTTTTTTCCGAGGAAAAATATATTTCTAGTCTTTAAAATTTTTTTTTAAATATTTTCTTCTACACAAGTGGAAAAATGGAAACTCGAGTGTATAAAAAAAACTCTTCAAAATAACTTTGTTTGCTTTTCATCATTATTTTTGAAGTAGGTCAGTTGTTCATTAATTAAAATATGCAAATACGTGACAACTTACCTGTTGAATTATTTTATATTCAACTGTATCAAAACATCAAAAATGAAATTAATTAAAACTGTTAATTATATATTTTGCTATCTAATTAATTTATATCAAATACTACCATTTTAGTAAAAATACGGGTTGTTTATTTCCATATTCATCTCTGAATATTTTCCACAAACAAGTATTATATCCTTCTTACCAAAACAATCATTATTTGGAAAAAGAAACATCTATTTGTAACCGAACATGATAGATCTTCAAATTCAAATTATCTCAGAATTTTCTATATGCCATTTTAAAATGTATTGTTATGAATATGAGATATGATAGAAAATATAAATATAAAGACAGCATCCATCACAACGAAATTATATTTACTTTGTAAAATGGGATACAATTGCATGTCATGTTGGAAATGACAGAACGAGAAAAGGGAAATTAAATAAAGTTTTCTGCAAAAATGTAAAAATTGAATATGAAAAGGTATGGTGATATGTTGGATTATTTTTAGTGACGTTCTTTTTATTGTACGGTTTATTTATTATTGACAGTTTGTTTTGTCTGAATATAAATTCATACAAAACTAAATAATTGTCACGATTTTTTTATATGATCAAGTTTCTAGGTACTGGGATATTGAAAATTTTATAAAAAATTGGAAAATTAGCATAAATTTAATCTAAATTAACTTATGAGTTTGATTATGCTGTCTTGATAATTCTGAGAGAACCAATATGCTAGTCTTCATCTAGTTACATCTAATGATTTCTGAATTTCTAAAATCGGTCCAACCGTTTTTGAGAAAACGTGAACAAAAGGTCCAAAGTCGGCTAACATATATATACATTACACCGCACGTACAATTTTCAAATTGGGTATCATTCGATTCAGAATAACTTGTCTTGTCAGAAGACATAAAATTATCAAATCAGTTTTTTTCGTGGTGTTTGAATGTTGTTCCAATTGAAACCGGCACGCCATTTTTGCACCTCACCTAAAACGATGCCTAGTTCCAGGTTGTGGTGCAAAAAGACGTACCGGTTTTGATTGGGACACTTTTTGATTTTCATTCGGTATTTGGATTTTCAGTGATGATTTTCAAATATATTGGTATTTCCATTATACAATTAAATGTGTTTTCTAGTAGTTTTGTTTACGTTATCTTGTAATTACAAGAAACCTTATAATTGGTAAAACTTATAAGGGCAGGATTATGTTTATTTTGTGATTCAAAGATCATATAAAGTACATTGTAGATGGTATTATCCCCCCAAAAATTTCCCCGAAAAATATCCCCAAAAAATATCCCCAAAAAATATCCCCGAAAAATATCCCCGAAAAATATCCCCAAAAAATATCCCCGAAAAATATCCCCAAAAAATATCCCCGAAAAATATTCCCGAAAAATATCCCCAAAAAATATCCCCGAAAAATATTCCCGAAAAATATCCCCAAAAAATATCCCCGAAAATGGGGATATTTTTTGGGGATTTTGGGGAAATATCCCCGAAAAATATCCCCAAAAAATATCCCCAAAAAATATCCCCGAAAAATATCCCGAAAAATATCCCCAAAAAATATCCCCGAAAAATATCCCCAAAAAATTTCCCCAGAAATATCCCCAAAAAATATCCCCAAATAATATCCCCGAAAAATATCCCCGAAAAATATCGCCGAAAAATATCCCCGAAAAATATCCCCAAAAAATATCCCAAAATATATAATTAAATTATATTATATATAATTAAATTATATATTATATATATATATATATATATATATATATTTTGGGAATATTTTTCGGGGATATTTTTCGGGGATATTTTTCGGGAATATTTTTCGAGGATATTTTTTGGGGATATTTTTTGGGGATATTTTTCGGGGATATTTTCTGGGGATATTTTTGGGGAATTTTTTTCGGGGAAAATTTTTGGGGATATTTTTCGGGGATATTTTCTGGGGATATTTTTGGGGAAATTTTTCGGGGATATTTTTTGGGGAAATTTTTCGAGGATATTTTTTGGGGAAATTTTTCGGGGATAGTTTTTGGAGATATTTTTCGGGGATATTTTTTGGGAATATTTTTGGGGATATTTTTTGGGGATATTTGAGGATAAAAAATATCCCCGAAAAAAATTCCCCAAAAAGTATCCCCGAAAAATATCTCCAAAAACTATCCCCGAAAAATATCACCAAAAAATATCCCCGAAAAATTTCCCCAAAAAATATCCCCGAAAAATTTCGGGGATTTTTTCTGGGGATATTTTGGGGAAATTTTTCGGGGATATTTTTTGGGGATATTTTTCGGGGAAATTTTTCGGGGATATTTTTGGGGAAATTTTTCGGGGAAATTTTTCGGGGAAATTTTTCGGGGATATTTTTCGGGGATATTTTCGGGGATATTTTTGGGGAAATTTTTTGGGGATATTTTTTGGGGATATTTTTTGGGGATATTTTTTGGGGAAATATCCCCAATTTGGGGAATTTTTTTCGGGGAAAATTTTTGGGGATATTTTTCGGGGATATTTTCTGGGGATATTTTTGGGGAAATTTTTCGGGGATATTTTTTGGGGAAATTTTTCGGGGATATTTTTTGGGGATATTTTCGGGGATATTTTTTGGGGATATTTTTCGGGGATATTTTTTGGGGATATTTTTCGGGGATATTTTTTGGGGATATTTTTTGGGGATATTTTTTGGGGATATTTTTTGGGGATATTTTTTGGGGATATTTTTTGGGGATATTTTTCGGGGATATTTTTCGGGGATATTTTTTGGGGAAATTTTTCGGGGATATTTTTTGGGGATATTTTTCGGGGATATTTTTTGGGGATATTTTTCGGGGATATTTTTTGGGGATATTTTTTGGGGATATTTTTTGGGGATATTTGGGGATAAAAAATATCCCCGAAAAAAATTCCCCAAAAAATATCCCCGAAAAATATCTCCAAAAACTATCCCCGAAAAATATCACCAAAAAATATCCCCGAAAAATTTCCCCAAAAAATATCCCCGAAAATTATATATATATATATATATATATATTTTTTTTTTGGGGATATTTTTTGGGGATATTTTTTGGGGATATTTTTTGGGGATATTTTTTGGGGATTTTTTTGGAGATATTTTTTGGGGATATTTTTCGGGGATATTTTCTGGGGAATTTTTTTCGGGGATATTTTTCGGGGATATTTTTCGGGGATATTTTTCGGGATATTTTTCGGGGATATTTTTCGGGGATATTTTTCGGGGATATTTTTCGGGGATATTTTTTGGGGATATTTTTCGAAAAATATCCCCAAAAAATATCCCCAAAAATAACCCCAAAAAATATCCCCGAAAAATATCCCCAAAAAATATCCCCGAAAAAAATTCCCCAAAAATATTCCCAAAAAATATCCCCGAAAATATCCCCGAAAAATATCCCCAAAAAATATCCCCAAAAAATATCCCCAGAAAATATCCCCAAAAAATATATATATATATAATTATAATATATAATTTAATTATATATAATATAATTTAATTATATATATATATATTTATAATTTGGGGATATTTTTTGGGGATATTTTTTGGGTAAAATGGGGATATTTTTCGGGGATATTTTTTGGGGATATTTTTCGGGGATATTTTTTGGGGATATTTTTTGGGGATATTTTTTGGGGAAATATCCCCGAAAAATATCCCCAAAAAATATCCCCAAAAATATCCCCGAAAAATATCCCCGAAAAATTTCCCCAAAAATTTCCCCGAAAAATATCCCCAAAAAATATCCCCGAAAAAATTTCCCCAAAAATATCCCCAGAAAATATCCTCGAAAAATATCCCCAAAAAATATCCCCATTTTCCCCAAAAAATATCCCCAAAAAATATCCCCAAATTAATATATATATAATTAAATTATATTATATATAATTAAATTATGTATTATAATTATATATATATATATATATATATATATATAT